GCGGTAGCAGCTCTAGGTCCAGTTACTGCCCAGTGGATGTGGCAGCAGCAGCTCCAGCTCCTGTCATGTGTCACATGCCCCATGCTGGTACTGGAGCTGGTGCTGCTGACAAATGTTTTGCACCAGGGTGGCACAGAACACACAGTGGAGACAGCGCCGACTCTGGGTCTAGCACAGAGCATGTGGCAGCGGCAGTGGGGCCAGTGGCCAAAAAGCAGTGCTGATAGGTGAAGCAACCGGGGCTATGTCAGCCCTCACTTGCCCTCCTGCCTCCAACTGCCATGTCTGCATCAGGTTACTCCCCCGGCCACGCCCTGCCTCCACCCCCAACTTCCAGTGGCCCATTTGTAGCCTGGCAGGCCAGAAACAATAGCTCCATGGGTTGAATCCAGCCTGTGAGCCACATGTTTGACACCTCTACTCTAAACTAAAATGTAAAACAGAATAAGCACTGTGGCAGGAGCGACGTCAGGGTCGCCGTGCTATCCCCCGTCGCCTCCTTTACTGTGCCAAGCTTCTGACTTGTACCCTCCTATTCTCGCCTGCCACGACTTTGATTGTATATGTGTTTTTATAGGGAGGCTACCTTTCTTCTACTTGGCCACAGTTCTCCTGCTTCAGGTGTTCTGTGTATCTAAGCCTTGTGGGCTATGCGTGGCTCCTGCCACCCCAATACCACGCCCCAAGCCTCGCAGATGGAAAAGACGATGTTCTGTCTGGGTCTACACCCCCCCTGGCACTTGGGCCCTTCGTGGCCCTGTCTCTCTCCGGGGCCTTCTCGGCAATGCGGCCCTCTCACAGGGCTCACTGCACTGCTACCCCCTCTTCTGGGGTTTCTCAGCCACCCCTCTCTGGAACTGGGGTCTGTACACCCCGAACACTGTGCCCTCACTGGGGCTGGGGTCCTTACACTACTGTGAGGCCTCCTCCATCCCCTTATAGCCTCACCCAAAGCACCGGTGTAATCAATAACAAACATAAACAGTAACATAAACACCAGCCCCTTGGCAACAACTTAAACATAAGCCACTAGCTATAACTATGCTCAGGCCTACCGGGTTTTCTATCCTACCGCGGTTGCCCCTTCCTTCAGCTGGCTAGGCAGGTGTAAGCCATTAGCTCCCTTTGGTTGCCTCGGCAACCGGCACCTGAAGGGTTATCCCAGCACTTCTAGTAGCAGGCACCCTAGTGCCCTGCTACAAGCACTATAAAACAAGCAGTAAAAATGGGAAAGATTTATATTATATCACCAAAATGTTTGTATATATTTTTTATTAGCATTAAATATTTGCTGATAATGTAGCATCAAAAGTGTGATAAGGCATTTGGAAAAAAATAATTTTTAAATAACAGTTTTTACTGGTTCCCGAGAAGTGAGGAGGAGTGGACTAGGAATGGAATGTTAAAGGAGGAAAAATAATACAAAAATAGAAAAGTAACATTCAAACATGAAAAAGCAAAATCTTTAAATTTAAATGGTATCAGAACATAGCTATCTTTTAGAAAGAGACCAACATGGAAGCCTACAATTAATCATTAGGCAATCTGCATCATGGTCATACTGCCGGCAATGCAGAAAGAACTGGTAAACTGTAGACTTCTACATTAAAGTTTCTCGTGAGTAGATAAGTTTCTTTGGCTAAATCTGATATCTTTTATTAGAGCAACTCAAATAGTTGGAAAAATTCTTCTTTGCAAGCTTTTGGGTATAAACACCCTTCATCAGGCTGAGGAAACACCTGCAGTTGGTATGTGCTCTTCCTGGATAGAATGAATAGTAAGAAGCCAGAGGCTGGTATGTATGTAAGAAAGCCAGTCAGTGAAGATGTAAATCGAGGTGTCAGTGGGTGAAAGACAGGTTGGAGGTGCATCTGTAAGATCCAGGAACGTTGATGGTTCTGTTGTGGGGTGTAGCAATTGCGGAAGTCATGGAAATATGTTGGCAGGCTTTACATTTCTTGTCATGGTCTGGATTCATTCAGTATATTTTGGGCCATAGGAAGTTTGTTTCTGGTGATGAGATTAGCGAGGTTTGGTGCTTGTTTGAAGACTAGGATGGATGGTTCTGGGAAGATATCTTTAAGAATTGAATTGTCTTCTAATTGGGTTGCAATTGTTTGAGGATTTTCCGTATAGGTTCGAGGGAGATGTGTCATAACCAGTGGTGTGCGATTCATGGGGGGTTTCCTTCTGTACTACAGCAATTTTTCATGTGGTATCCGAGTGGCACTTTCAAAAGTGCGACCTATTTGAGTTGGTTTAATAAAAGATATCAGATTTATCCAAAGAACCTTGTCTGCCCATGTCCCTAGACCGACATGGTTATAACCTATACCCCTATAATCATGAGTAGATTGTACTTTATTTCTAACATGAAGTTACTTACCTGTACAACAACTGGAAGTCTCTGGGATATGTTATCTCTATATTATATGCTCCTGTATATATAAACAGATGTATGCACCCCAGTATTGATGCACATGCACCCATGAATTTGAGCTCAGAATATTTTTGGCCAGCAGTGCCTATTTCCATGCCTCTTTTGAGCCTCTGATACTGAGGCTGAAAATTTCTATTTTCTGGATATAGTTTGGTAATTTTTTTCTAATTAATTAAATCAAGCTGTTTTGTTTAATGTTCTATGCCAAAAATAAAGTACATATTGAACCAAAGGGAGCATTGCAATGATTGTCAACACTAATAGATCTGTCAGAAATTCAATATGGCTGATGTTGGAGCTATAGTGGTTAACATTAAAACAGTTTGTGCCAATATATCCATCAATTTTATATATCGATGCAATCTTAAAATCTTGGTATCATGCCTCCTTTGAGTTCCTACAATAACCACATCAGGCCACATTCTCCCTAGAATGTGAATAACAAAAAAATTTAGATTTTTTTCTTAGTTAAAGAATTTGTAGACAATCCACCACTCACTTTCCCCTCAAGAACAATGTTCTTTTATCCTCAAAGTTTTCTGCCAGTTGCATCAGAGACAGAACCTGGAATTCTGGACAGCAGATTTTCCAGCTAACTTATCCTGAGCTCACTGGACTACTCCTGGAAAGAGACAACGTTGGGTCTAAAACATTGTGATCAGTCTCACAAAGCAGTCTCTTGCAGGAGAATGAAAACTTAAAATCCCAACAGATATCTCAAGGTCTCAAAACCAGGGAAAAAGTGAAGGAGAAAACCCAAATCCTGTCAAAAAGATGAGCCTACAGGCAACTTGTCCTAACCTAGTTAACTCATTCTAATCTAAAATTAAGTTTTACATGTTAAAATAATAAACCCCACCACCACCAGCTAAGGTATGTGTATCAAGATGAAGAAAATGAAGTTGCTATGTTTCACAGAGGCCAAACACAGACAGGTAGTTAGCTGTATTATTCTGAAGTCAAGCAAAAGCAAGGCAAGGTGGTACCTTAGAACAGTGGTTCTCAGCCTGCGGCCCAATCAACACACTGTTGTGGCCCATGTGACATTCTATTAAACCATGTGTTAAATGGATACAGAGGAAGTAAGTAGTGAGAGTGTGGCCCACATAACACATTGAGAGCTGCAAAGTGTGGCCCAATATAGAAAATAGGTTGAGACCTATTGCCTTAGAAACTAATTCATTCAGAGAGGCATAACGTTTTGTAGGCGACAGCCTACTGTCACAAACTATGACCATATGAAGTATCATGGCATCTGACAAAATACACTGTTGCCTATGAAAAATTATGCCTCTCTGAATGAATTAATCTCTAAGGTGCCAGTGAGCCCTGCTTTTAGTAACCAGTAGTGTGAATGAATGCTAATGGCAGCGAGACACAGCTATCCACTATGCCCTCTGTAAGAAGCAAAGGGAAACTGAAATTATAGGAGCAGCACCAACATACTGCTGACCAAACTACACTTATGTCAAGTGCATATGCACAGAATATGCAATACAGGCAGTCCGCAGACTTACAATACAATCAGTTCCTGAAAACCACGTCTTAAGTCGAAACATTGCAACTCGGAACCAATTTTCTCATAAGAAACAAATGTTATAAATGGGGGACTGGTTCCTGAACCAAGGCCCAATATCCTATTTTCAACAAAAATACCCCAGAATTTTGTACTCAATCAATTATAGATGAGTAATATCGCTACATTAATGTATTTATATTGTAAATAGCAATCATATTGATTTGGAAGGACTTCTTTGTGGTGACTTTGCTGGACGTTTTAAAAGGCTCTTGGTCGGACTTCTTGAAGGGTTCTTGGCTGGAGTCTTCTTAGGAGTCTTGGCTGCAGGTTGTTCTGGAGTCTTGTCTGCTTTCTTAAAGAAAGCGTCCAAGGAAGTTTGGACAGATGTTCTCTAGGGAGATGAGTGACACCGCGAACTTGGTCGCTGGCATGGCATGGCATTGGATCAAGCGTTGTAAAGTCGAAACTGACGCCATGAAGTTGAAACAGGGTGTCAATTTATCAATGCTGTAACTGCGAAACCTTGTAACTCGAAACCTTGTAAGTTGAGGACTGCCTGTACAGTTAGATGCATATGTGAAGAACTGTGCAAACTGAGAGTGACTGGATTTTTTGGCTGGGCTTGATATAGCTCATGCAGTCTGACAGAGAAGCTTTTCTACCCAAGGTTCTACTTTCAACAACATCTAAACTTGAATTTAACAGGAAAGGTTATAGCTCTGCTAGTCACAATAAACAAACAAACCAACCAACCAACCAACAAAAAGTAAGCTAAATATATATTGATATAGATCAAAGACCATAGCTCCAGTTATACTGTTGCTTAGTATATGAGAAAACACAAATAGTACTAAAATTTACATAAAATAGCTTAATTTCAACATGCCATTGCCTGTAAAAGCTCCGAGCACCTAATGCTGTGGGGGCCAGCCTTTTTGCAGGTATGCCACATATCAGCCTCAAACCCTCCCCGAGCGCAATTCCAATACCCTTTCCCTGCTTAATAAGCTGAAATTGGTACAAACTAGGTTTAAATCCTACCTGCCAAAGCAGCATCCTCATCACTTTCTGATCCATACTGCAGTGCCATGGTTATTGCTGATAAACGATCTCCTTGGACTGCTCTCTTGTTACTTTAACATTTAAAACAAAAACAACAATTATGATGTGAAAAATGCTGCAATTATCAAAAATCACTGTCCAATTATTTTCTGCAGACAAGTATTACTAATTATAGGGACACACCCAGAAGATCCAAGAAGACTATTCAAATATGTGGGGCGTTTGCAAAGGAGACTGGCCCACAACATTATCTCTGCTTTGTGAAGTGCTCCACCAAATCAAAAGCTCAGAGAGCTAATCTGATGGCTAAGAAAGCATAGCCTAATAAAAGAATAGGCTATTCCCCCCTGCACTGTTCTCAACCTCTAACATTTAGAAGAAAAAAAAATTACAGGTGATCAATTAAAAAGTACCTCTGTGTTATTTTGTAGAAATGAAAGACTACTAATTCTGTTTTATAAAGTTATGCTTACATAAGAAATGTAGTATGCAGTAAGAACAGTGAATTTATGATGCATTAGCTACTCCACACCAACTCCCCTCATGGATACTTTCAGTACACACTAAGAATGACCGTAGGATAGCTTCATCTATCTTAGATAAGAGTATGTTGCTTCACAGTAAGAACATCTACAAAGCAATTAGTGTGGAGTCACTAGGGCACTGTAATTTTGCACTCACTTCCCTGTATAGGCAAACCTATATGAAGCATCAAAATTTAAGAGATGAACAAGTGAACAAAACAGAATGCTGTGAAAAATGATTTCACTTTATAGTCTACCTTAACTGTATTTCAGATTCATTACTTTTCTCTTGCATGTTTTCTCCTTCATTTAACATTGTTTTAATGTTTTTATTCTTTACTTTCACAAATTGTTAAAAAACTAAAATGCAAACATCTTTTCTGAGTTGTGATGCATATCTCTGGCAATTTTAGCATGCCTGGTTGTGTAATAAATCTTAAGATGCTGTTTTTTAGAGCATTCCAAAGAAATAGACATATTTAACATTTTTTATGATAACTGACACAATAAAAATATAGAATAATTTAGGTTATACAATCTATTAAAACCTCCTATACAGGAGAACAGTGATTAAAATATCTAATACCATATTTTATCACATACAACATGCACCTTTCCCCACAAAAGAAACAGCTGCTGGAAACTGGGGTGTGCACTACAAGCAAGAAAATACAGTGTCAGTAGTTTCTGCTGTTTAAGAAGTGATCCACAGGGAACAAAACATTGAGCAGGTTCAGCTCCCCAACTGCTGCTACTCAGTTGCTTACTACAAGGAAAGAGTTTTTTCTTAATCCTGCCTTTCAAAAACAAGATGTTCATCTTATTTTGGGGTGTGGGGTATGCAAGAAAATATGGTCTATACTTAGGTTACTAAACTATGGCTTTAACATTTCCATGACAGCTGGGTAAGTCTTTATATTAGACAGACAATTTACTTACCGGTAATATTTGTTAGCAGAATTTCTCTCATCACCAACACTGCCCTTACCCTGCGAGGAAGGACCTGTCAGCTTGGAAGCAGCCAAGTTTGATGGAGTCCTTTAAGAACAGGAAAAGATGCAGGAAAAGGAAGAAAGAGACACCCACCTTAGAGCCAAGAGAAGCAGCCAGAAAAAAATCAATCTTTCACAGAATAATCTTGATAGAATAAGCAGACAAAAGAGCTCAGAGTTGGAATGATAAAATGTTGCATAGCTAAAAATATAAAGTGATTTTCTAGACAGAAACAAAAGTTAATTATAGCTTAAGCAGTACGGAATTTGTTTAGTAGGTAGAAAGAGGGTTCGAGGCAGACTGACAGAACCAACACTAAAATATGTCTTTCAGTCTACAGCCTAAGTGAAATGTTGCCTAACATCAGGAAAAGGTTAGCAACACACACACCCAAGCATGTTATGTTACCACTTCATAAAGCGCCATGAAACTGCACTAGGTTACTTGATTGTATTTTAATCATCTTATGTAAACAGAGGCACTTACATACATACCAAAGAGCAATTTGAAATGATAAATGGCACGGACCATTTCACATAAGAAAAGAGTTGGGATTTTTGCCATGATCAATTGCCAGCATCTTAAAAGTACATAATATTAGCAAAGAGTAAATAAAGCATTAAGCTTCATTTATCAGTAGTGAAGAAAATACAGGTTTAAATTAGGATGAAACATGCTAGAAAAATCTAAGGAAATATTTTATGAAAAATTATGTATAGCTGAAACAGAATCCAATTGAGGTGGAAGGATTATGGAATTATGCAAAAAACTGCATAATTATATGGAATTAACTAAGATGAAAAGCATGTTAGGCAATAGCCCTGTGCTCAAGATGAACCAACCAAATACTTCAGGGTAACAGGAGAAATATTTCTTATGAATATACTTTTCTCTCTCCCAAATAGACTCCAAGGTATTTTTCAGAATTGGTTATATTTGTTTGAGAGTATTTTAGCCTACAGGAAGGACAAAATGTTTTTCGTTGTTTTTTTAAAAAAAGATGCAGGAATCAAGTTGTTAAATTATTCTAGCCTTAAGGAATAACATCTTGGCCATATAATAACATCTATTGAAAAAGTTAAAATGTTCAAGTTACAATGCAAAATAACTTAGGAACAGAGGAAGGGTTGGCAGTATAGGAGAGAGGAATTCAACTAACAAATATTAGTATGATCAATCTGTCAGTCCTCTTTACACTAATACCCTTATTTTGAAAATAATCAGCCAAGACTGGCTTCAACACAAGGCAGAATTCTCAAGCTTGTAAAATACTCATTCCATGTAAACTCCAAAGGAAGTAACAATTTAGGGCTTAATCCTCCAAAACGTACACACATGCAAAGTCCAGAGGTTGTTAAGTGTTTACAGAATTATGACCTTCCAGATAGAAGTATATTAACAAGGAAAGCTGACAACTTGAAATCTGGCCAGTTAAACTTGTGTTTCTTTTCTTTTTTTTTTAAGATGAATTTCTTTTGTGTTTAGTCGCATTTTCCTGTTTTGCAGTGTTTTTCTCCCACAATACACATATAAACTCAAAACAGACTATATACTACACACATATCCAACCCTCCCATAAATAATTGATACTATTTTCTCTAATCTTTCATTTACAATAGCCTTCATAATTTAGCAACATACGAAACAAGGGGAGGTAAAACATTTTAAGAAAACATTATTTTTAAGCTATTTCCCATTTAATGTAAGGCTGTATGTAGAATTCTCTATTTTACCTCAAAAACAGATATAGTGGAAAAGTAAGGATTTTCTCTTCAACATAAAATGCATTCTTTCTAACTAAATCCATTTCATTTACCAAGAAAAGCTCCATTTCTTTTTCTACTGCAGAGCGTCCTAATTCTTTGTCCGAGCTGGACAATTTCATTTAGCTTTTTACATAAATTATATAGTTCACCCTGGCTAATATTTTGAAAATCAGGTTTCAGTGTTATCGGTGGTAAAAAAAATAAAATTTACAAAAGGCTCTGCATATATCCAAATACATTTTAAAGTACAAAGTGTAAAATTACCCCTTTTAAAATATTTGAAACAGTGAAGATCTGGACGGAAAGCAAAAGCTATTTCCTAAAGCAAATATCATGTGTAGGCATCAGCGCTGTGTAGGGGGTACATGCAGGTGCACGTGCACCCCCTGAGTGCCGGCAAAAGTGCACTTCCAGTTTTGCTGGTTTTGCCACTCGTGGTTCCAGGCTCAGCGATCAGCCACTGGGGGATCCTCCACCCCCGTCAGTGATCTGGTGCCCCCTGACTTGGGAGGCACCAGTTACCCATGTGTGTAGGCCCTCTCCCCAGGCCTCTCCACCAATCAACGGCAAGGAGTGGGGCTGCTAGAAATTCTGCTCTTCACAATGTGACAAAGCCACAAAAATTCCTTTGTCTGGCCATGAATTAAGTAGGTCCCTACAAATAATGGAAGTTGAATGAAGTTTCAGTTACGAAATAGCCCAACACACTAAGTTTCAGGGCCAGATGTGTCTTAAAAACAGGAACATCTCATCCATATAGTGTATTTCTGCAAAAGATACCTTCAAAAACCTATTTCTATGGTTTTTAGAATTTAAAGAAAGAGAAAGTTAATTTTAAGCTGTTATTTTGGTAAATCTGTAAGCAAAATTAAGTAATGTCAGTAAATACATGGAAACACAACTCCAAGCAGCATTTTATTTGCAATACCTGATTCGAAGACTTGATTTGGCCAACTCGCTGTGTTCAATTTCAGCCTTTTTCATATTAAATATTTTTTTAATTGCATTTGCATCCTGTTAGTTAAAATAAAAATATTTTTTTTGTAAAAAAAGTAGTAAATTAATCAAGAACTTAACTCTAAAATTTATGCATGGGTAAATATATGTTTAAAACATTATCAAAAGTTTATATTTAATATATATAAAAAGCTTGTATTGAAAAAACAAAAATTAGAGTTCTATATATTCCAGCTAAAGAATGACTCTGCACTAGGGGTGCACCAATAGAGATTTTGGGGGCTGATACCAATAGCTAATATTTAAGGAGGCATATTGGCCAACACCAATCCGATTTCCGATACAGCCGCCTCCAGCTGATAAGTCCGGTGTGTTGGAAAGGGAGGGAAGGGGCTTTGGAAATTTCGCTGCTGCTCCGCTCCCAGCATCGCAGCCACCAGCTGCCCCATGCATCCCTGGCTCAATGCCCTGCCTCCACCCAGGCACCAGGAAGAGCTGTGGCAGCGCCAGGTACCTGGTGGCTGAGGAGCTGGGAGTGGAGCGGTGGCAAAATTTGGGGTGGATGCAGCATCCTCCCAGCGCTGCTGGCACCCGCTCCGAGCTCAGCTCCTGCTGAGAAAAGCCCCACAGAGCTCTGGCTGCAGCCTGCCCATACAGATCCAGGGGGCACACACTCCCCCCATGCCCACCCGGGGTGTAAGCAGCAGTGGGAGCTGCCATCTCCCCACAAGCCGCAGCTCCAGACCACCCCCACTTCTGCATGGGCAGTGCCTGCCCCTGCCCCTTCCCTCACCACAGGGCGCTTTGATCATAGATTCATAGATGTAGGGTCAAAAGGGACCTAAGCAGATCTTCAAGTCCGACCCCCTGCCCTGGGCAGGAGAGAATACTGGTCTCATGTGACCCCAGCAAGGTAATTATCCAGCCTCCTCTTAAAGTCACCCAAGGTAGGAGCCAGCACCACTTCCCTTGGAAGTTGGTTCCAGATCCTAGCCGTCCTGACTGTGAAGTAGTGCCTTCTAATGTCCAGCCTGAACCTACTCTCAAACAGCTTATGGCCGTTATTCCTTGTTACTCTGGCAGGTGCTGGGGGGAACAGGGTCTCTCCCATTCCCTGGCTGGTCCCCCCTGGTAAGTTTATAGATGGCCACCAGGTCCCCTCTCAGCCTTCTCTTGTGAAGGCTGAACAGATTCAGGTCCCGTAGCCTCTCCTCATATTAGATGAAGAAATAAACATATTCTATGTGCATCCTGAAATGATCCTTGCTTCATAACAAGTGATTAAAAAAGGTAGCTGCAATTAGTACCTTTGCGCAGTGGCAGTATTGTAGCTGCAATTAGTAATCTTTGAATACACAATAAAAACCGCAGCTGAAGCCAAGCACAGAACAGTAGAGCACACATGAAATAGCCTTTTTTTTTCCTTTTAAAATATTCCAATCCAAGCAAATATTAAATCTCATAGATTCATAGATATGAATCTTCACCCCGCCCCCCCATACCCCTTCCCTCCCCTTCCACCACACCGGACTGACCAGCTGGAGGCAGCTCTCCACACTGCCAGCTGTGCTCCTCGCTGCCCAAGTGCTGCGCTGCAGCTGTGCGCATCACGGGCATGTATTGGCCAAATTATCAGCCACATCGGGCTGATATCTGATACAGCAAATTTTGTTTATATCGGTACTGATCCGATATATTGGTGCACCTCTACTTTGCACAGTGTAAAAAGTCTCCAAAAGTATACTGGGAAAGGAGACACTTTGTCACTGAAATTCATTCACTTCTGGGTTGCATGAAAATAGTGAGGCAGAAAACTTTCACGTGCGCATCAGCACAATAGTTAACTGAGAAAAGAATCAGGGAAAAGGGATGAATTTTGATGAAAATATTTTTGCAAGAAATGGAGTATGTTGTTTAGTATCCATAAACAGGAGGAAGGCTTTACAATAAAAGCTTCTCTGTATTGCACAGAACTGCACAGATAAGGATTAAAGCAGGGCTGAGCAAAATCAGACCCACAAGCCAGATTCAGCCGCCAAGGGATTCTAATCTAGCCCATCATGGGTCCCTCGGCCCCATCTGGCCCAGGCGTGGGAGGCAGGCTGGGCTGTGGCGTATGCAGACAGTCCCACTACCCCCGGGCACGTGGTGGGGCAGGGGCAGCATGGTAGCCAGACTCCACTTCTCAGCAGTAGCTCACTCTGCCCAGCTGCCACTGCCAGTCTACTCTACACCCACCAATGGGGGCGCTGGACAGAGCAGGTGGGCAGGGTCTCCATGGAGACCAGCCCAGGATACCCATGGACAGAGCATGCTTGGCCAAGTGGATGGCATAGGGCCACAGGTAGGGAGTGCGTAGGGGCTGGGATTGAGAAGCAGTGACAGTATGGAGCCGGGAACCTAGGGCAGAGCTGCAATCCACTCCCTCGCATATTGCTGTGACAGGCACTGGTTCCATTGGCAGGGATGTGCAGGGAGCAGATTGGGGTTCTGCCCTAGGCCCTGGCTCTGCACTGTCACAGTCCCTGCCCCTGCCCTGCTCTCAGACACCATTCCCTGCCTAGAGCCCCATCCTATCCACCCAGCCAAGCATGCTCTGCCCACAGGGTCCTGGGTCTGTCTCCATGAAGACCTCACCCACTCTGTCTGGTGCCCCTGCTGAGGGTGCAAGATGGATGACCTGGGGCTGGATAGGATCAACTGGGCCCCCCAGCCGACCCACAACATCTTACTGAAACTCCTTAAGTGGCCCTCTGGCCCAAATAACTTCCCACTGGTTGATTAAAAAGTCAGCCAATACTTCCATAATATCGATCTGTAGTTTCAGACATCTATGTATTCCTAACTAAATAATGAGCAATTCATCCTCTGTTCCTAAAATTAAGCCAATCTTTTCATGACCCCTTTCAGATGCAATTGATGGCAGGAATCTACATATACCAAGGAAAGAACAGCGAAATAGAGTTTCTGTCTTCCAGAGGGAGTTGTTAATAAAAATACATAAATAGCAATTGTCACATCTTTCCTAATATTCCCAAAGAAATTAGAAATGTTTTAGAACCATATAATACATATTATTCAATAACTAAAATAGTATCTAAACATAGTAAGACAGATCTTGAACATCTGAGGCTAACCTTGAATACTTGAGATCCAGGCTCATTGTATGTTTTGGCATTCTTTGCTAAAAGATCTATATCCTTGGCCATTGCATGAATACTTTTGTAAGTTCCATTCTAAAAGACAAAAAACAGAGCAGATTACCCTTCAATTAAGTGATCAACTACTCCTTTTCATCCTATCACATAAAAAGGGAACAGATAAACAGTGGAAAGTAAAGGGCAACCTTTGTACAATAAAGAGGGCACATTCCTTCATGTGACATGTAAACAACTTGAGTAATTCATTGGAAAAAGAGAAAGAAAAGGAAATCAAAATGGAAGTACAAATATAAAAGTTCTCTTTAAAGCTATGTACACACGTTCAAATAACCTAAAAGTCTCCTGGGTTTGTTTTCCTGGCAGGAGAAAAAAAACAAAAACAAAAAACAAAAACTTACCTGGAAACACTTGAGCAGACATTTAAATCCTCAGCCCCTGAAAAGAAGATAGTTTGCAGTGCTGATGCTGCATAGAGGCACCCTGGCTGTGCACACATCCCACTGTGCTCTGCAGGTTCCTTCCACCTGCCTGGGGACAGATGGCAGCTCTGACTGCCTGACCCAGACTGTTTAAGGTCAGCCCGTGTCCCTCTGCTAAACAACATGGAGATTGTGAAGGGGGAATGTTCTGTTCCTTGCTTGACTAGAGCAATAGAGTCCAGCAAGCCCCTCAGGCGGGACAGGAGCAAAGCACCCTGGGATGCTGGTGGAATGGGCAGCGACTTCTCCCAGAAAAGAATGTAAAACAGACATTCGCTCTCCTGGGAGCAATTTAACCCTGGTTGTTCCCTGGATTTTTCTTCTTCTTGGGAAAAGTGCTGAAAATCTGTATTCTTGCAGCTTCTCCTGGGAGAACAGCAACTCTCAGGAGAAAATGCACATCTGTACATGACTGAAGTGTGACCAGAACCAAATGAAATACTGCATGAAAAACCTTTTTAATAACTTACCCAAATATTAAATACATATTCTGATGATCCACCTAGAGAAGTTCTACCTGATCTACCTAAAGAAGTTGCGGAATCTCCGTGCTTGGAAACTTTCAAAAACAGGTTAGAGAGACACTTGGCTGGGATGGTTTCGTCAGAGACAATCCTGCCATAAGCAGGGTGCTGGACTAGATTCCCATGCAAGGTCCCTTCCAACCCTATTTTGCTATGATTCTGATTACAGCTTTCTGCACTCTTATCACTACTTCTACTTCAGTAGGCATGAGCAGTCAATATTTCCTGGTAGGAAACACTGATAGTTGAGATTACAGAATAATATTTCCAAGTACTGGGAGAGAGAGAAAGTTTTCTGTGCAAAACACTAATTTTTTGCTCTAGGAGTTCAAAACATCAGCAATTAAAAACTGCATAGGGTAGGTGAGAGAAAGCAAGATGGTCATGAGAATGACAATAATATAATCTTCAATAACTTAATTTGCAATATAACTATTACTTGACAAGCAGCTAAGTTTATTATTATAAATGGCCAAGAACCTTGATATATGGCCTATAATTCAACATTTAGTGATCATGGGCACTAACTTAAACTGCAACTACTTACAGTGGACTAGTCCAAGGCTAAAAGTCCCTGACATCAGGCCAATATCACTGTCATTTCTTCAAGTACCTATTTAAATTACACTACCATTTCTGATGCATGTAAATTTAGGCTTTTGTATTTTGACAGAAAACAAACAAGCTTGTTTTTAAAAAATATACAACTCATTAGCATGCTCATACTATACCTGTATCCTCTGGGCAATTGTCTTAAGATCTATGGGCTCTTTAATTATTGCATAATAGTCAGGATATTGCTAGAAAACAAAATAAATAATAGACCTATTATTATATAAAAGCACAAAGTTTATAGAAAGAGAAACACTTAAAAACAAAAAAGACCAGTGTCCAATAAGGAGCGAGGCAGAGTGGACCACTATGTGTAGAACTATATATATTTATTTGATTTATTTTGGGATTCAGGAGACCTAGGTTCTATACCCAGCTTGGACACTTGGGAAAGTCACTTTCCTACACACCAGTTTCCCAAACTGTAAAATAGAGATAATGATTGCTTACATCTTTTATAAAGTACTTGGTTGATTTACTGAAAAAATGTTCTATAAGACTTAAGTATTATAGTTGATAATTTACTGCTGAAGTCAGATTAGAAAATGGATTCCACCAACAGCAGAAAGCTCGAGTACAGGTTCAAAAACATTTTTATTATGTTTTATACTTTTGATATCATGCTTGAAATAATATTTTTGCTGCTTTATATATGTATATTAGGGGTGTACCACTAAAGATTTTCTTGGCCAATATTGATTATTAACCAGCCATATCAGCCATTACAGGAATGCAGCCGGGCAGCATGAAGAACAGCTCCCTGCAGGTATGTCTGTGGAAGGGGAGGGAAGGGACATGGGGGAGCAGATCAAAGCCCCCACAGTGAGGGAGGGAGTAGAGCAGGGGGCGCTGCCCCAGCCAGGGCAGTGAATGGGACCCAGGGCTGGGACGGGGAGCAGGACTGGGCCGTAGGATCAGCGTCCTGGAGCTTAAAAATGGTTGGAAACCACCCCCACACCTCCCGGACAAGCCACCCATGGCTCTGTCCTGCTCCCTGAGTCCAATTCACTTCCTTGGCTGGGTAGCACCCCCAGCTGCAGCAATAGCCCCTGCCCCTCCCTCACCATGGGGGCCTCGATCTGTCCCGCCCCCCACACCTTTTCCCCTCCACAGACTTTGCAACAGGGCACTGCTCTCTATACTGCCCAGCTGCATTCCTGGACATGTACATGTGTGTAGCTGTACGCATGCACACAGTGTCCAGGGGTCCAAGCCAGAAGGCATATTGTATTTATCGGTGACGTTATCGTCCAAAAAAGCCGATAATGTTAATTTTCCTTTAATTGGTGACAATCTGATATGCAACCAATATACTGGTGCACCTCTAATGAATATTATACTATAAAGCTATGTTTTATATAAATATTATATATGAAATTAAAGATATTTTGCATATTTTCAAATAGTAATTCATATATTTTAAAATAATTCTCTTTGTAAATTCATCAACAGAACTAATGATTTTACAGATTCCTTACACCATGGGTGTCAAACATACTTGCATACCACAAGCATCTTTTCCCAAAAAATTAGTCATCCAAAATTGGGGTGCAAGTTTTAAGTGAAGAAGTTGATTTCTATCCTGGCATGGAGATGCAATGACTGCCAGGAGCTGTACTACCTTCCCAAGTGCATGCAGCCAAAAGCTGCTGCCAATTCAGAAATATTCATGACAGGATTAAAGTTTAAACTTTGGAACTGCAAAGAGGCGAGTGATGCTGAGAACTGGCCTCTGCCCCTTGTGCATCTACCTATGAACATTCACTGATAGTGAACCCATGTTGTAAAGGGAAGACTCTAGGAGAAGTCTTTTTTTTCATTCTGCCTTCCCAAAACAAGGTGTGTGTTTTATTTGAAGGCATGTGGTATATGAGAAAGATACAATAGCAATTGCCTTCTACAGTAAACAGTTGTAAGGAACTCATTTACACCATAAAAGAAAATTTTATGACCAGGGATCTGGGTTTTCTGTTCGCAGTGGAAAAACATGGATTTTCTCCTTTAAAGGCGAAAAATGTGGTAAACGGCAGGTTTCCCCTTGCAGGCTGGCAGTTCCAGTCTGCAAGGGGCTGCTTGGGGGTGGGGTGAGTGGGATTAGGATAATAAGGAAGGGACACCACGTCGCAGCCAGGTAAATCTACGGATGGAAGGCAGATTGAGGCAACCCATGCTCAGGGAGGGAGTAAGGGAGGGAAGGAAGATAGGTAGCAAGGTTCCCTCTTAGGTGCGTGCGTACACGGCCGTGCACAACTAAAAGTCTGGCCACGCACAGCCTTTTCAAGGCCGCGCACCAGGAGAGGAACTGAAGGTAAACTCCGAGGGGAAGTTGGGGCGGGAGCCTGGCGTGGGCTCCACCAGCTTCAGGGAACTGCTCCGCTCCCCTGCTTCGCCTTGGGGAGTGAGGAGGCACGTGGCATCAGGGCTGGGGAGTGGAGCAGTTCCCCAGAGCCAGTGGAGCCTGCACCAGGTCCCCGTGCCAGCCTCCATCCCTGCCCTGCCACACCTCTGGGAGGAGCTGCTGCCTGCCCCGAGTGAGGCTCTGCCAGCTCCGGGACACTGTTCCACTCCCTGGCCCTAACGGCACGTGCCTCCTCAATCCCCAAGGTAATGCAGGGGAGCGGAGCAGAGCAGTGTCCCGGAGCTGGCAGAGCCTCACTCGGGGCAGGCAGCAGCTCCTCCCTAGGCAGGGATGGAGGCTGGGGTGACAGGCTGGAGCAGGCTCTGCCAGCTCCGTGGAACTGCTCCACTCCCTGGCCCTGATGCCATAGGGGAAGCGAGAGAGCGGAGCACTTCCCCAGAGACGGCAGAGCCTGCACCAGCCCCCAGCCTCCGACCCCCAGCACCAGCCTCTGGCCCCTAGCTCCAGCCCCAGCCTCTCAGCCCCCAGCCCTAGCCTCCAGCCCCCTTCAGAAAGTGTCCTACGCCGGACCACGGCAGCATGCTCATGGACAACTACTCCTTAAAAGGTACACTGGTAGGTAGGGAGGGAATGGGGCACGATTCGGGCTGGGAATGCTGCCCAGGGCTAAGGTGGGAATACATGGCCATAGGGCCCGGCTGGGGGAGTGGGATGGATGCAGCCCCGGTCAGCTTGTTTAGCGATCAGCTCAGTGTGCATTTCCAGAGAGCAGGGCATGGAGTGGCATGTGCCCCCCCCAAGATTTGTGTGCAGAGCAGGGGCAAATGTGGGCTGCCCACTGTGGGCTTAGGGCTCCAGGGCCTCTGGGGTCCAGCAAGAGGGACCTGGCATGGGAGGACAGAGTGAGGCGTGAAGGCCTGCTGCTGCCACCAGGAGCTCCATGCCATTCACACCACCATGGCAAGGTGGTCCTTCCGACCTGGCAGCAGCAGCAGGGGGCACAACTTCACACTACCACCCCTGCTGCTGCTGGGTAGGCAGGGGATGTCTCACCATGGCAGTGCAGCTGGCACAGGGTTCCCAGCGGCAGTGGCAACAAGGAACCTCCCTGCCTTCCCATGCCAGATCCTGCCCACTGAGCTGTGGAGGCCCCCTGGGTAAGGGCAGCAGAGCAGGGAGCCCTGAGCCCACATCCTCCCCCTCCTCCATGGGCTCTGCTCCAGCCACACAGCCTGCTGGAAGGTGGGGAGGGGAAGAGGAGGAGGAGGAAGCTGGGCTCTGTACTCCACTTTGCCTGCAGCAGCCACTCCCACTTCCTGTGCATGGCAGCTGGGGCTCGGGCACTGCTGGGGGGGGCAGGGGGCTACAGGCCCCTCCCCATGCCCTGTAGCTCTGGCAGCTGGGGGCAACCTGGGGCTCTCTCCAGTGGGGGATGGGGCAGGGGGCTGCGGGTTGTGAGTGAGGGGTGCCAGCAGGGCTGGGGGGGGGGGGGACTGCGGGTGGGGAGAGGGGCACTGGCAAGGCCCAAGGGGGCGTGGCTTGGGAGTAAGGGGCAATGGCATGGGCGGGGCACCAGCATATCAAGACTGCTCGGTGCCACAAGGTAGTTGTGGGGACAGCTGCAGCTGGACCCGCATCCTGGTGAGCAAAGGGGGCAGTCGGAGCTCTGATTTTCTATGACAAAAAAACAAAATCAAATGCCAAAATATATAGATAATTAAAATTTATTTTTATTATAGTGACTGAGGCACTAGTAGGTTTTCAGATTGATATATCTATATCGATAGATAGATATCTATATTGATAGATATCTATCGATAGTGTAATTTCATTTTACTTGTGGAAAAAGGAGGATTTTGCAATTTTTATACAGAGAAAACCAGGATCCCTGTAAGACTTGTTGGTGATTAGAATATTCCAATTTGAGTTTGTTTAGCTGCTTCATAAATCAGCCCATATATAAGTTATACCATTTACCAGATACCAAAACACAAAATACAACTAATTTAATTTATGTACCTACCACTTTAGAGGGAAGTTTCTGAAACAGCTCACTAATTAGACGTCCTGATGGGTTTGTGGCTACAGCTATAGCTTCAAGAAGCTGTTCAAGAATCTCCTTCAAGTAACCTGGAGAAGGCTAGTACAGGAAATGAAGTTACAAAAAGTTAAGAACAACAATTTTATAAATCAGTACTTGTTCAAGGGTGGGAAATTCTGAGCTTCAACTAAAAAGATGCAACTTTTCAAGCCATGGTATTGTAATAATGCATGAACATAAAGTATGTGAGAAAGCAAGTGCCGACACAATGTTGTTGTCACAGAATTGTTTTTCATAGTTCATGAAGTATACCTTTGGATGTCATGATGCAGTACTAAAGCAGGTAAGCCACACCAAGCCCGGCAAAGAGTCCCTGGCTTATAGCAGCTCACAAAATAGTAAATCTAGAAATACGGTTGAGCATGAGGGTACCTCAGCTTTCTTGAAGACCACAAGTCATGCATGATATAGAGGACAGCTTTACTATCAATGTGAAATGAAATGTAACCAAGGGTGCAAGAACTGAATCAAAGATCATCTTAAAACCACTCATTTGTTAAGACTACACTCACACAAACACAAATGCAGGTTTGCAAAGAGAGTACTGCAAACATGCGAGTATAATTTAGTACTTAAATTATATGCAGGCCATACATTTTGGCATAGTTTAATTATGCAGAAACCTGGTTATGGGCAAATGTCAATTTTATCAGCTTCAAAATGGGAGAGAGAGCAGCTGCTTAAGACCATTCAGTAGCTGCTATGATCTAGATCAGTGGTTCTCAACCTTTTTAGACATAAGTCATCTCTTGTTAGACTCAAACCCCACTGTGGACAATGCCAGGTCTTAGTTTTCACTTGTTTTTTACTACAAAAAAAACCCCAACACAGCAATTATTCTGTGGCAAAGAACTCAGAAAGAAAGGGTCAGAACGTTTTTAACTCTATGAATTCCTATTTGAAATCTCTGGGTTCATCTTGTGAATCATGTCTGCACATCTAACAATGCTAACGTTGTCTGGCACCTTATGGCACCCTTGAAAGGATTAAGGCACCTCAGGGTGTTGTGGCATCCTGGTTGAGAATCACTGATCTAGATGTTACCTTTGCATGAACCTGTAGTAATACAGTTTAGCTAAATAGTTCTAACTTTAAGCCTGAACGAAGCAAGGAAGAGCTGAAGTGTTTTTGTTATATTTAAACTGCTACAGAATTGTGCAGAACTAACAGTTCCATGGTATCAGCTTCTATCAGTATCCTTTGACAGTGATACAATGATTATACTAGTCACATTGGTACTCAAAGTATGACCTGCAGCATGACCTAGCACATGTCCCCATACCCAGTGTATGAACCTGATCTCGCAGACCAGCTGTGACCTACTCGTCTGGACCGGGTACTAGAAAGGTTAAACTTCATTGGTCTACACCAGTGGTCAATTATTTCGGCTGGAGGGCTACTTAACAAATTTTGGTGAGCTGTAAAGGGCTACAAAAATAGCTCCGCCCCCTGGTTGCCATTTTGGGAACAGAAGTCCTGCACCTAAGCCCTCCCACCCCCCCATGCTACCAGAAGTCCCTCCCCTTGCCCCAGGAAGTACTCCTTTTGAGAAGTGACTTTGCCATCTTGGAACCAGAAAATAAACAATATACTAAAAATCAAACATCTATTATAACATATTTTATTTCAAAAAAATTTTTTTGTCCTGATTTATGTGTATTTGTCCTGATTTGTGTGTGATTGCATAATAGCTCAAAATAAAGTCGGGGGGGGGAAGGTCGGGGGGGGGGGGGGGGAGAAGAGTGTGTGCAGTGAGGGTGGGGGTGTATGTGTGGGTTGTGGGTATGGTGACCTACCCACACGCCCCCCCCACAACAGTATATAGCCTCTGCTGCCAGCCACAGCAGCAGGCGGGGGGCCTTAGGGCACTCATGGTCCATGGTAGATAGAGACCCCTAGTTGGAGAGCCAGGAGCTGTGGAGAACCACGTGCCATTGGGCCAAGTCGGCTCCATGTCTCCACATGGGGCTCCCAGCACTCCAGCCGGAAGCCCCACGTGGAGGCATAGAGGCTGCTCAGCCTGATTGTGCGTAGCTCCTGGCTGGAGTGCTGGGAGCCCCAAATGGTGGCAGGGAGCCAGCTGTAGCATACTGCTTGGGACCAAGCTTGATGTGGAGAGAAACTTAAGGTATGCACAGGCCCCCCCACGCTTGAGGATGAAAAAGTCAACAAGAAACAGTTCTACTGTGTTCTTGACATAGTCCTGACTGCCACTGCCAAGGAAAACAAGCTCATCCTCATGGGTGACTTCAACACAAGAGCTGTCAACACTGAACTCTGGAATGACACCATTGGGAAAGAAGGGGTGGGGAAAGTCAACTCCAACGGTATCCTTCTCCTCAGCAAATGTGCAGAGTATGACTTGCTCATCATGAATACCATCTTCAGACAGAGTGACAAATATAAGACCACTTGGAAACATCCACGCTTCAATCACTGGCACCTTCTTAACTACATTATTATCAGAGCCCATGATCATACCGATGTCCATATCACCCGAGCCCTGAGAGGTGCAGATGACTGCTGGACGGACAACCATTTAGTCAGATCAATCATGGACATGCAGCTTGCACCGCAACAGTGTACACACAGAAAGGAATGTGGAAGAGATTTAACATCAAGGCACTCCAAGACCAAGATAGATGCGAGGCTCTTCAGCCTTACTGAGAGGCTCTCTGACCTACCTGATTCCATCAAGGACATCCACACATACTGAGAGGAGCTTAAGAACATTATTCACAAGGCATGTGCTAAATCAGTTGGATACTACCCTTACCATCCCTCTCCGAGGATCATCACCTTGTTATGGTGGAGAGGCTTGTGTATTCCAATGACTCTGAGAACAACACTGTCTGGAGCTCACACTCCTGGTAGGGCCACCCAGGGCGGCAAGGTCGAGGGGGAGGTTCCAGAAAAAGAATGATCCAAGAAGTCCTCAATGGTGGAGCAGGTGGAGGAAGGCTGTGGCCCCAACAGCTGCAAAGGTGGAAGAAAGCTGCAATGGAGAAGTGGCCCCAGTCATCATGGCTCGCCATGCCACTGAAACCGGCCACTAACTGCCAAGACCGCGTGGGTCCGACTGCACACCAGAGTCCCCACACTGAACATGCACCGCGCAGGCTTCTGTCAAGTCCAAAAACCCTGTGACGATGGAGGATTGGCGACGGGGGCAGGGCTGTGATACCTGGAGGCCCCCAGCCAAGGATCTGCACACCGGTTGCAGATGCGCGATGATCGTCAGGCACCTGTGTCGGGACAGTGGTGTCCTTCGGCAGCTGCACACGCAACTGAGCGGTCCTTTTTAGGATACCCTCTGCTCACCCTGATGGGGAGGGGGCTAGAAAAGGTGCCCCAAAAATAGGCTGTCCCATCTCTCCTGGCTGGGAAGTGGTACCTAGCGGGATCACCATTCTGGCGGTCAAAATACGAAAAAGCTAAACTTTGGAACCTGGAATATGAGAATGCTCATCGACAACCTAAAGAGAGATTGCCCAGAAAGACAAGCTGCCATTGTGGCTTGGGAGCTAGCAAGGCACAACATCAACACTGCTGCTCTCAGCAGAACCTGGCTCGCAGGGGAGGGACAGATGAGGGAGGTCAGCGGAGGGTACACCTTCTTCTGGAAAGGGAAACCAGACCGCGACCCCCACATCCATGGAGTTGGTTTCGCCATCAGGAACAAGATCGCCGACATGCTCCCCCAAACACCCTTCGGGTGTCAATGAAATGCTGATGACCCTTCTCCTGCACCTCAGCCAAAATCAACGCACTGCTGTCATCAGCACATACACTCCAACTCTGGATTACGATGAGGAAGTCAAGGAAAGGTTTTACTCCAATCTCAACAATGCCCTTGCCTCCATCCCCAGGGATGACAAGGTCATTCTCCTGGGTGACTTCAATGCCCAGGTTGGATGTGATCATGAAATCTGGAGCGGAACTATCGGCAAGAATGGCATGGGGAATGCCAATGCTAACAGTATTCTGCTCCTGACCAAACGTGCCCAACACCGCCTGATCATGACGAACACCATCTTTCGCCAAGAAGACCAGCTCAAGACCACGTGGAGGCATCCGAGATCAGAGCACTAGCACCTCTCGGACTACATTATCATCCGAGGTAGAGACCTGAGGGATGTGCTTGTCACGAGGGCCATGAAAGGATCTGAAAACTGGTGGACAGACCACCAACTTGTGCGCTCAGTGATGAACATCTGCCTGGTGCCAAGACACCAGAAGACCCAGAAGGCTGCCCGGAGATGGCAGAATGTTACAGCTCTGAAGGACCTTGGACAGCGGGAGGAGTTCCAGGCCCAGTTGAATAGTGCACTGGAGCAAGTCCCTACTGCTGAAGACATCTTCATCCAGGCACACTGGGATCAACTCAAGTCCACCGTCCAAGACGCCTGCGCCTAGACTATTGGGTTTGCATCGCGACAGAACCAGGACTGCTTTGATGCCAATGACGCTCAGCTCTGTAATCTCCTCGAGTAGAAGCGTGCAGCTTTCATCACTTGGCAAAGTCATCCACAAACTTGGTAAAAGACAGCAGTGTACCACCTGCTGAAGGTTGAGGTCCAGTGATGCATCCATGACATGAAGAACAACTGGTGGGTGGAGAAGGTGTGCATGATCCAGGGCTATGCCGACCAAAATGATGTGTGTAACTTCTAGGCTACCAAGATAACCTACAGACCCTGCTCCATTGGACAAAACTCTCTCCGAACACAGGACTTCTCCCAGCTCCTCAAGGATGATGATACCTTCTCTCTGCGCTGGAAGGAGCATTTCGAACTCCTCCTTAACCGGGAGTCCACCATATCAGAGGAGACCTTCCAAGTCGTCCCGCAACACCCTGTGGTGGATTCCCTTGGTGATCCACCAACCATGAGAAAGCTGAAGCAGGCCATCCAACAAATGAAAACTAGCAAAGCCTGCGGGCCAGATGCTATACCCACAGGTCTAGCTTCCAGGCAGCTTCCAGCTCACATCACGACTCCAGCAGCCTTTGGAACGAAGAGGACATCCTCAGGGATCTCAAGAATGCAACCATCATGACCATCTACAAGTAGGGGGACAAATCTGACTGTGGGAACTACAGGGGATTTCCCTTCTGTCCATTGTGGGTAAGACCCTGGCCCACATCCTCCTGAACCGCCTTCATCCTGTCACTGAGAAGATCCTTCCGGAAACTCAGTGCAGCTTCCGACCATCCGGGGGCACTGCAGACATGGTTTTCATTGCCAGGCAGATCCAAGAAAAATGCTGGGAGCAAAATCAAGAACTGTTCCTCGCCTTCATTGATCTGACCATGGCATTTGATTCCTTAAATCGTGACGCTCTGTGGACCATCCTCCAATGCCCCGGTTGCCTGCTGAAGTTTGTCACCATACTGAGGCTCTTGCATGATAATATGACCGCCACTGTCCCAAGTGGAAGATCTGAAACCAACACCTTCTGGATCCAGACCGGGGTCAAACAAGGTTGCGTGATAGCCTCCACCCCATTCACCATCTACCTGACCATCATCATCCACCTCATCTGAGATGATCTACTATCTGGTGTCAGTATCCAGTATTGACTGGACAGGAAGCTTTTCAATCTTGGGTGATTTCAGGCAAAAACGAAGCTCACCACCAAGGACATCCACGACGTTCAGTTTGCAGACGATTGCTGCATGATGGCTCACTCTGCACAGGATGTGCATGCAACCTTAGATCTCTTCAACGCTTCATATAAGAGACTTGGCCTGTCCTTCAATGTCACCAAGATGAAGGCTCTCCACCAACCCTCCCCAGGCCAGCTGAACATCCCTCACGCTACCTATGTAGAGGGGGAGGCTCTGGAGTACGTAGAGCACTTTCTGCATCTCGGCAGCCACCTCTCTCAATGGACTACCATCAATGAAGAAGTCCAGCACTGGGTCAACTGTGCCGGTGCCTTCAAGCTGTGATGTGCCTTCAAAAATAGAGACCTTCAGAAGTCTATGAAGGTCCTGGTTTACAAGGCTGTCGTGCTGACCACCCTCCTCTACTGCAGTGAAACCTGGACCGTCTACCGATGCCACATTAAGACCCTTGAGAGCTTTCACCAGCGGTGCTCGAGTCGAATCCTGGGGATCAAATGGGAAGACCGCCAGATAAGCGTGAGCGTCCTCCATGAAGCTGCGTCCACCAGCATCGAAGCCTTGCTCTTGAGAAATCAACTCCGATGGACAGGCCACTGCGTCCAGATGTCCGAGCACCACCTCCCTTGCCAGATTCTCTTTTCCCAGCTCTCCATTGGCCAACGCTCATACAGTGGCCAAATTAAAATTGTACAAAAAGACACACTCAAGGTTGCCCTCAAGCCCAGAAGCATTGACACCAATGGCTGGGAGGAGCAAGCTGCTGACCGCTCAGTGTGGCATCACCTGGTCCACCAAGGCGCGTACCACTTTGAAGCCCAATGACTCGATACTGAGGCAGAACAGCAACGGCAGAGGAAGGAGAAGACCAACTCAGGGCTACGAACCCTAATCCCCCCACAACATGCCCCCATTTCCAAAGAATGTGTATCCAGAATCTGACTCCTCAGTCACCTGAGGACTCATCAAGCCTGACGGACGTCATCCTCGACTTCACGGGACTGCCAACGATGACACTTACGATCCCCAAGATTGATCTGATGAGAACAAGGAGGAAATCCTAGCACTTATCCATGTTCTGTAGTTGGCAATATGAATCATTTTGAACCCTCCAACCAGCAAAAACAAGAGGCTTACCACAGACTCGAACTCTAGTTCAGAGGAGGCTATGAGACATCAAGAACTAGTGGTAGCAAGCAAAGGACATGGAGAGCCAGAGTTTTGCTGGCTAGCATGACATTAGAAGCTTCTGTCAAGCAATAAAGGTCATCCATGGGCCACATTCCAAAAGCTCAACCCCTTTGTGATCTCAGGATGGCTCCACCCTCCTCACAGACAATGTATCCATCAAGCAACACTGGAAGGAGCTACAAGACTTTACGCAAGTGTGAATCTGAGGTCTCAGCTGCTACCATCAAGTCCATCCCTCAGCACTCAGTAATAGAACCTCTTGATGATACACCATCCTTCAAGGAAGTCTGGTGTGCCATCACTTAGACCAAGAACAGTAAGGCACCAGCCCCAGATGCAGCGACAGGCCGCACTCCCCACTTAGGTGATAGGCAGGTGAGGCAGGTGCAAGCGCCAGCCGGGGAGCGGGAGCACCGGATGAAATGCCACAACCGCTTCTGGGAGCACGGGGGGGGGAAGAATACGTGCCCTCCCCCCTGACTAAGGTGATACCAGTTCCCCATGTCCAGATGGCATCTCCACAGAGGTCTTCAGACCTGGTGGAACAGTGCCAACACAAAAAATACACCAACTTCTCACCAAAATATGGGTTAACAAGGAAGTTCCACCTGACTCGAAGATGGTCACAATATTGGCATTCTTTAAGAAAGGGGACAAGTCAGTGTGTGGGAACTACCGAGGCATTGCCCTCTTCTTTATTGCCAGGAAGATTCTTACTCGCATCTTTCTGAATCACCTCCTCCCCCTTGGCAAAGATGTCTTTCCACAATCCAGTGTGGCTTTAGACCATCTTGGAGTACCACCAACATGATTTTTGTTGCATGACAGATGCAGGAGAAGTGTAGAGATCAACACCAGGAGCTGTTTATGGCATTCATTTACCTAACCAAGGCCTTTGACTCCATCAATCATGAAGCCTTATGGAAGATGCTAGCTAGGTTTGGTTGTCCACTGAAGTTCAGTGTCTTCAGGCTATTCCACAACAGGATGACCACCACAGTCCTTTGCAATGGATCACAGACGGACATTTACCATCCATACTGGTGTAAAACAGGGCTGCGTTATCTCCTCAACCATTTTTTCCATTTATCTTGCTGTGATTTTGATTCTCATCCATGACCACCTTCCTTCCAGAATTGGGCTTAAATATAAAATGGATAGTCAGCTTTTCAATCTGCGGTGCCTTCACAGCAAAACAAAAGTTACCAAGAGTGGCACCACTGACCTTCAGTACGCTGACGACTTGACATCACACACACTGAGAATGATCTGCAGTCCACCTCTGACCTTTTCTCAGGTGCCCATCACAGCCTAGGACTCTCCCTTAACAGTGGGATAACCAAGGTGTTCCATCAGCCTGCCTCAACACAAGCTGCTCCCCTCCCTCCACAAATTACCGTTGGTGGAGACCCCCTGGAAAACATCAAGCATTTTCCATACCATGGCAAATCACCTCTCCCAGTCAGTTAGTCTCAATGTAGAAATCAAACACAGGATTCTCTGTGCCAGCGTATCCTTCAGAAAGCTGCTTCACCATGTCTTTGCTAACAGATCTGCAGAAGATCCTGGTCTACAATGCAGTGTCTATCCCCACACTCCTTTATGGGTGTGAGATGTGGGTGACATATCAAAGCCATCTTAAGCACCTGGAATGGTTCCATCAGCGTTACCTCGGGAAGATCTTTCATTTTAGATGGGAAGATTACTGCACCAATACTAGCATCCTCTCTACAGCTAACATAACAAGAACTGAGGAAAAGATCATGAAACATTAACTCTGTTGGGCTGGTCACTGTGTGCAGATGGCTGATCCTCATTTCTGAAAGCAAGTCCTCTTCTTTCAAATGATTCATGGTAATAGGAACCGTGGAGGACAGAGGAGGCACTACAAGGACACCCTGAAAGCATACCTTACGAAAGGTGGCCTCAACCCTACAAATTGGGAAGTGCTGGCTGGTAACAGGTCTCAATGGTGCTGCACCATACATCAAGCTACAGCCCACTTTGAAAAGAACCGTCTTGCTCAGGAAGAGAAATGGCAGAGGAGGAAGGAAAGCACACAACATCCTGGCCAACAGCTGTGCCCCACATCTTCCCTAAGGCACCATTCGTCATATCTGTGGAAAACCTTGCAGAACATAGATTGGACTCCTCAACCACCTTAAGACTCACCTGTAATGCCCTTCCTGGCAGACATCATCCTCATATCGAGGGATAGCAGTTTATGACCTTAGGTCCCACCCTCGCATGGAGGAAGACCTGGGAACAGCCACAGGGTTGCCAGAAGCTTCCTGTCTCCAGCACCCCCTACTTTGGAGATGGGGGTAGGGTGGGTCAGGCCCAGGCTGGGGTGGGGGTTGGTTGCTTAGCAACCAAAGCCTGAGCTGCTGCTGTAACTGACACCATGTGCAGCAGCTGGCGCCTCCTGCAGCCAACACCTCTGAAAGCCCACGTCTCCTGCCAACTTTCAGAGGGGCAGCTGCAGGCCAATAATAACTGCCTATTGGAGGGGACCCACAGGCAGAATAAAATGGCCTGGAGGGTCATATCTGGCCTGTGGGACCGTATTTTGCCTACCCCTGTTCTAACCCTCTTCCACATGTTGAAGCTAAATTTTCCTTTCAAGTCCAGTTCTTGTGCATAGCCATAATCTGATCAACAAGCTGTAAGTGCCAGGTCTTTCACTTACTGTTTCAGAATTTGTCCCTTGATTGTCATGTCCTTCATCATCCTCCTCCTCCTCTCCAGCATCTCCTTTCTGAACAAATTCATTCTTTGTGCGCAAATATAATTCCCACAGTTTGCAGGCAGCTTTATACTCAGGAGAATCAGGCTATAAGAATAAATCAAACATCACACTGTTACTGACAGTCAGGTACTTCAACCCAAAATGCTGTGAATTTTTAGTGTTTTTGAAGTATACTCATCAGTGGAACACAAATTACTAGTTGAATAAGTCTTTAACAGAGCAATATTAGGAATGTTACTGTGAATTAAAATAGATGGCTTCTACTAGTTTCACTGCTTTTAAGACATGTTAATATCCTAGTTTAAATAAGAATCCATAAACTTAACAGAAATCACTATGCATTGAAGCCTGCATGTGAGCAAAATAAAGAACTTCAATTCCAAAAAATAAATGGAGAAATGATTAGATTCTGTAACAGCAAAAACACTACTGGTACTTCAAAGTTAGTAGGCCAAAATTTTGATTTCAGATCAAGTTTGCTATAGTTTTGTGGTACTTCAGTGTTGATTTCCGTATCAAAAGTAAGATTTCTTTAAGTAATGTGCATGGAAACAATTTGTAAGCTTTCATAATTCACTGATAATTGTAGTAAAAAACAAATAACTGTGCTATTTTGGGGTACATACCAAGTGCTCCCTCAGGGGAATAGTTAGCACCTTATATGTTAACTATCCCCTAAAAAAAACTGTGCGTTGTATATATGTTTTAACACACACAAATGTATATGTAAGGTTGTTAAATAGAAGAACTATGAAATGAATGGAGCCTCCTCCAGCAAATAACTTACTAGCACAAGGTTTTGTTAACACAGAAGGAGAAAAAGAGAAGGATGAGATGCTGATGAACAAACAGAGCAGAAGTGTGGTTATAATGCTAAATAGCCAAGCAAGAGAGAGCATTAAAACAATAAGAACAAAATCTAAGAGGGCATTTTACTTCAGAACTGCCAGACTGCCTAATAAAATAAATATGGACTATGACCCCATTAACTTTTATATTCTACTATCACAACATTTTGACAAGTCCTATAATTGACTATATTATACACCCATCTTCCTACACAGCTTACTATGGCAGTAGCATGATAGAAAGTGTGTTTACAAACATCATCTGTTACTTGAAAGGACTGTATGATGTTTTCCCTTTTTTTCTTTCCCCTTCTGTTTACCCTCTCTCATTCTCCCTTCCCCCTGAAGTCATGGGGGACGTCTGTTAATTACTTTATTTTTCTTGTTTAATATTCTCACTTCTCCATCCTTGCATCATCTTACTTTTGACAGAAATGGACTAAATGATAAGTGTTCAACAAGACAATTTTTAGCTCATTTTATTGTGCTTAGACAGCGATTTCAGGTAATAGATATAAGAAACAGTTAAGGGATATCTGTGAGTTTTTTGAGGGACAAAATTGTCCATTTCACAAAACCAGCAACTTCTCTGAAGAAAGAAGTTTTCTACTGCCACCTGTTATGCTTGTATGCATAACCTGGGGTCCCTAGGACCCTCAGCATCACATAGCCCTGTGCTAGGCCCCTGATGGCTGTGACCCTGCTGCCACTAGGCTTAAACAGTTACAGGACTGTTCAAGCTGTTATATCAACTCCTGTGACTACTTAAACACTCCCAGAGAACCCCAGGACTGTTCTTGAAGCAGTACCAGTGCCCCCCTGGAATACCCCTGGTTCTCTCCAGGACTTTTCAAGGGTGGCAGACATTCCCTTTGCTGTGGGAACAGCATCTAGATTCCCTGGTACTGTTCAAAGGGTGGTGTGGCTTCCCACTTCTCCCCCCATCTCTGTAAGACCTTGGCAAGAGGTAGGGCTCTGGCAGCAGCACCATCATGAGTGGCAGCTGTCCTCATCCCTGCTACTCCTAAAGGGCAGGGCATTTCAGCATCTGCCAGCTAATCATTGACAACCTACCCCTTCTGTGGCAAGGGAGAGGACAGTCTGCCAATGACTGTGCTTCCCTAGGGGCAGGGGCTGGGGAGCTTTGTAGCTGCCAAGCCAGGGAGCTGTAATGCATGTACACTTCCCTTATTTCTCCTGCAAAAAACTCAAGATAATTCTAGTTTATTAACAGCTGAACAGGCAACTACATAATTGTTTTGCTACATAAAAATCTTTTCAGGAAAAATATGAAATCCTGAACTCAATATTCAGCAGACAGATTTTAAATCTTTTATTCGTCGTTCCGTCACATCAGTGCTTTCTCTCAGGTGGAGGCCATAAAGAAAACCAACATCTGTAGCAAACAAGCACTGCCATCAGTAGAACACAAAATATAATTTGGGTACATTTTTCTCTATTGCAGTAAGGGTACAAGCTGTAGAAAATGCACAAGTTGTATATTCCTATCATTTTTTTTAAAAGCAGCACACACAGACAAATTGATCATTCTGGATGCAAGCAGCAGCCAGTCAGTACAAACACCCCCAAGACTAATAGGTGCCAATGATGCAGAAGCCTATAATGTTCAGTCTATATAGGTGTAGAAAAGTTGTACTGGGTCTCTGTCACAAAATTCTGATATACATATGCAATGTAAGAAATAACATTCATTTTGAAGTTGAACTCTGTTTTTCATGACGTTTTAGAAAAATTCTATTAGTCTCCTTCCTAAGACAAACCTACTAAAATTTATTAACATCTAAGGTGCATCTTTTTATATATGTACATAACTATTTTTGTTTTGTTTCTCGTTGTTACTGTTGCTCTTTAGTAGAATATCTTACTTCAGAAGCTCCCAATGTTTGGAAGACAACTGGGGGACACCTGAATGCCTGTCTCCCTTTTCTTGTCCCTACTCCTAGTTTTCAGTTGAGAGACGACTGATAAAAGATGAAATCATCACGTAACCTACTTTTGTTCTTTATTTTTTGTATCATGGAAAAAGTTATTTGTTTCTCTATTTTTAAATGTAGTCACTCTAAATAAGTAAATCCGTTCCTTAAATGAAAGTGTTTTATGAAATATTTCTAAATCCATGCATCCTTTACCTGCCTGATCGAATGCTAAATTTAATATTAATATTTTTATTCTTTTTATTTTCAACAAGCAACACACTTTCAGCACTTGCAGGGCATTTACAATATACTTTCCTAATATTTTCTGACAAAGGTTGTATCTTCTAAAAGCTATGCTATATAAAAGGAAACTTTGAACATGTATCTACCATTATTGCAATCTATGAATCTCAGCTTTTCAATTCAGCTTCCTTCCTCACCTTATAGTAAGCCTTCGCATTATTAAACAGCAACTGAAAGTCAGTAGTCAGCAGGTTCACATCATCATACTCCTCCATCTTTAGTTTCTGTTGGATTTTCATTAAATCAATAGGTTGAGAAACCACTTCATAATAGTCTGGCTGATTCCTGTTATAACCATAAGTACAGGCATTAGAGTCTAAGCACTAAAAATGAAACCTGAAGCATAGAAACTAACAAAAGTTGAAGAGTAATTTTTTCTACACCTAAAAGAGCTAAAATTTACAACCAGTATTAACAATGTATTATTATATACCAGAGGTTCTCAACCCTTTTAGTGTCAGGGCACCCCTCTATAACTTTAAATTTGTCAGCATGCTGGTTGAGAATTACTGTGGTACTGCTCCAGCTTACCGGGTAACTCCTTATTCAACAAGGAGTTTAAAAGACACTTAACATTTTCCTTTTCTCACACCAGTACAAGACAAAAGCAATGCAATTGCTGGCTTATCCACACTCGTTAAAAAAGCAAAAAACAAACCCCCTCACTCCCCCCTGGATCCACCCTTGCTGTTAGGGGCAGAGGAGTGCAGTGGTGCAGTTGCACTCCACCCTTTGATTCCTGGTCCAGGCAAAGTTTAAAATCTACTGCCTAACAGTGACAGCAACAGTTCTATTCAGGGAGCAGCGAGGGAGTCACTTGACTTCATGGCTCATTATAATCTTCCCGATTCTTTTCAAATTCCTCATTCCACAGATGTTAATGACCCTGCCCCCTCTTTTAAAGGTCTTGATGTTCCACTAAGCAAGCTATTCTTTCTTCTGCAATTTTGCTACCTATTAACAGCTCCTGGAAAGCAGCTCCTTTCACAACCCTGAAAACTATTGTTAACTCTAACTAATATTTTCACACTGCAGTTAATGCTTTTAACTCAGTTGAACATTAACTCAGATGTGGAAATAACTTTCAGTGAAGCAGTGGATGCACTGCCTAGATGGCTAGATTTTATTTTTATGAATCTGAAAGAGATGTACATATAAGTCTAATGACTACAGGACTAAAACAACATCTCTTGATTATTTTTGCCTAGTTGTGGGGTTTTTATACATATAATATAGAAAATTGATGTACATTCCAATAAAGTGATATTTATTTGGGCTTTTATCTTATACTGAATAATATAGCCATGGGCCTCTAGCATATTAGTAAAAATTCCAGCTTCTTTTTTCCTGGAGAAAAAAACATGTGTTGTGTTATATGTGATGATCCACCATACCATTTGCACCCCACTTTTCAAAATTCAAGATCCACCTATGCCTAATAGCTTTGATTTCCTTGTAGCTTACACAGGAACTTCTGAATTAATTACAGTGGAATTACTTCTGATTTACACCTTATTAATTGAGACAGAAATGAAGCCCAGAGAGAAAAATAAAATAAAATGCTATTCTTTTTGTAAGAGAAAGCTGTTAATATGAAGAGGGTTGTTGAGAGTGGAAAAAAAGGTAAAATACTAAATTAAGCTATTTCAAATTGATTTGCCTTGCTGGTCATATGGTGTTGGACAGGGAAGGGCACTTATAAGAACATGAATGTCACAGTGAATCAGGCCAGTGGTCCTTCTAACTCAGTATTCTGTCTCCAACAGTGACAGGAATGGATGTTAGATAGGGAGAGTATTGAACTGGATAGATTTAGACCAGTGTTTTCATCTTTTTTTTCTTTTGTGGACCCCTAAAACATTTTGAGTGGAGATGCAGACCTCTTTGGAAATTTTGAATGGAGGTGTGGACCCCTTTGAATTATAAGTGTGGGTATTCACATAATTTTGATTGATCATAGTCATTGTTCATGGACCCTAGACAGTCTGCGGGCCACAGGTTGAAAACCATTGATCTAGAGTGATCCATCCCTTATTCATTACTCTCCCGGGCATCCACCATTATTGGTTTAGAGGTGCCACAGGAAACATCTCCAACCATCTGTTTAATAGCCACTGATAGATCCATCATCCAGCCATTTTATAGTCTCATTGTTGGTAGGGTTGGAAGGGACCTGAGCAGATCATCAAGTCTGACACCCTGCCATGGGCAGGAAAGAATGCTGGGGTCAAACAACCCCAGCAAGGTGATTATCTATCCTCCTTTTGAAGACCCCCAGAGTAGAAGCGAGCACCACTTCCCTTGGAAGTTGGTTCTAGATCCCAGCCGCCCTAACTGTGAAGTAGTGCTTCCTGATGTCCAGCCTGAACCTACCCTCAGTCAACTTATGGCCATTATTCCTAGTTACCCTGATCCCCCGAGCACTACCAGGAGTATCTCCCATTCCCCACTGGTCCCCCTTGGTAAGTTTATAGACGGCCACCAGATCCCCTTTCAGCCTTCTTTTGTCGAGGCTGAACAGGTTCAGATCCCATAGCCTCTCCTCATAAGGCCTGCCCTGCTGCCCCCTGATCATGTGAGTGGCCCTCCTTTGGACCCTCTCAATGCTGTCCACATCCCATTGATAGATCCATCATGAATTTGTCTAGTCCCTTTTTGAACCTGGCTATGCCATATGCTTCTACAACTACCTATGATAATTAATTCCACAAGTTAACTAAGCATTGCATAAAAAGTACTCTCTCATGTTAGTTTTAAATCTATGTCTTACTGATTTCAGTGTGTGCCCTCCCAATTCTACTATTCTGGGATTTAGTGAACAACAACTCCCTGTTCGCTGCGTCTACACCTTTCATGATTTTATAGACCTCTATCATGTCCCTGCACAGCTTTTTCCTTTCCATAGTTTCATAGTAGTTTCATAGTTGGTAGGGTCAGGAGTACTGGGGTCAAACGACCCCGGTAAGGTGTTCATCCAGCCTCCTCCAAACCAAAGAGCCCTGGTTTTTTTAGTCTCTCCTGGTATGGCAACTGCGTCATATCCCTGATCATTGTGGACGCCCTTCTCTGTACCTTTTCTAATTCTCCTACATCCTTCTTAAGATGAGAAGACCAGAACTGCACACAATATTCAAGATGTAGGCACACCATGGATTTGTATAGTGGCATGATGATGTTCTCCATTTTGCTTTCAATTCCCTTCATAGTGATGTACAAATGTTACTGGCTTTTTTGGTTGTCACCAATGTTTTTAGAGACTACCTATCTAAAGTGACTCCAAGGTCTCATTCCTGAATAGTAACAGCTAGTTTAAAACCCAGCACTTGTGGCACAGCTGATTCCTGATCTGACTCTGCAGGAGGCATACAGCAGTTTTACCTGGCTGCAGCAACAGTGGTGGTGCCCATGCTGTAGCCACCCTGAAAGAGTCTCATGGCATCCCAGTTGAGAACCACTGCTATATACTTTAAAAATTAATTCAAACTGAAAAAACTTGAGATGAAACTTGTCTACTGCACATACTCCATTCTTATGAGTCAGTTCATTAACATTCCCCCAAATCTATTTTCTATTATTTTATTCTTCCGCCTTGGGATACTTATTACAGCCAAACACATTCAAACATCGAATACATATAATATGGAATGTTTCTTATGGAACAAAACATTTACTTTTCTGCCTGAAAACAGGCAATTGTTGTTGCATTATCCTTTAAACAATTACATAAAATACTCAAACTAATACAAGCTTGTTGTATATTTGATGCATAAGCTTCATAGATATCAAATAGTGATTGCAAACAGCTATTTCTAAACCCATTTGTTACAATATCAACTTCTATACCTAAGAATCTTACTAATCAGCACCCAATTCTTACCTTCGTTTTGGTGCCCTAATGAAAAGTTCACAAAGGAGTCTTCCCTGTTCATCTTTGTAATCTCTGATTGTGTTGTACAGTTCATGGCACACTGCAATCTGAAATGCAAATACACTCTAGTTAAAGCTAATGGGAATGCTATGTGGGCAACAAACTAAGCCTCAGTTAGAGTAAGACAAGAGCTGTGCTTTAAATTGTTCTAACGCGCAGGTGTCAGACACACCCGTGTCTGACCTTTCATAGTTGGTAGGTAGCCGATTTCATTAACAAATGAAATCAGCTACCTGGCATACCCAAATTCTGCAGAATGTTAGCAAGTGTTTTCTAAACACCATGGTTACATTAGAAAACTTCTATGTTATGAACTCATTCTTTAATCTTCCTAAACCTGCAGACCCCTGAATTTATGACAAAGGCATTTTAGCACTCTACAAATAAGCTGTTAACGCTAAAACATTATGTCACTTGAAATATCAGTGTTGACTTTTTATATACCCATCATTTTAGCAAAGGGAAACAGAATGGGAATGAAGTTAAAATCATAAAATATGGAAACAGAAAACCACTGCAGAGAAAAAAAATGTAGACAGAAGACAAGAGGAGACCCAAAAACTGCACAGACAGAAAAGCAGCAGAATGAGAAATAATGAGCAACAGAATGAGACAAGCAATCAGGAATTCAGAAACCAGAGCCGAACAAGATACTGAATGGATAACAAACATTTGATGTAGTATATGGAAAAGCATCATTATATTCTACCTCTTCATCTTTGCGCATATACTGCACTGACATCTGCAAGAGATCTTCAGAATGCTATCAGGGGTGCTTAAGCATAAATTTACACTCAAGCTCATAGATCATAATTAAAAATGGAATTCAGACTTCTTCACAAAATGAGTCTAACACCTCTTCTTCATAGCAATCATCTGAGCCAATGTACATAGAGTGTTGTTGGACTTCAGATAGTTATAAATCGGACTCAGTCAAAATTAGAGCTCAGGACACAAACTACACCTCTCAGCAAGGGAGACTAGGGAATGCTGCAAAGTCCTTAAAAAATGTAAAATATCACTTTGGGAGGACAGAGGTAGTCTGGAAAAAAGACACAGCACCTCAGCTATGGAACACTATGTTACTGTCACCCTTATTTTAAATGTTCTTACCAAATATGTCTTTTTACAGCAAAAAATGTTCTCTTAATCCTTTTAACTTGTCAAAAGATATTCCACATTTGGATTTATGCAGCAAGATAAAATGTGTGCATGTAAAAAGGTACTTACAGGATCTACAGTTGGGAGATTAGAGAGTCTCCGCCTTTTCCTGCTTGGGCCTGGTGTATTTGTTGAGTGGTGACCATCATCAAAATCTCCTCCACTGACACTGCTGGAAGGAGAAGTAGCCCTTCGCCTCTTGGAACCCATGGAATCCAACTTCTTCTATAATGAAGAAAGATGTTCTTAAACTTAAGGCATTGTACACAAGTTTTCTGGTGACAGCTAACTATTGACTATCAGTTAAGGGTATATAGAGTCAGGAACATTTGCAACAATTTACTTATGCATTGTTACCTAATGAGATTATTATTAAGTAAACTTTCAGAGTTGCATTAGTGGTTTAAGTCTATAAAATAGCACTGTTGCACACAGGTCAAGGAAAGTTATTATTTCCCTCTATTCAGCACTGGGGAGGCCACATCTGGAGTACCAAGTACAGTTTTGGGCACTCCACTACAGAAAGGATGTGGACAAATCGGAGAAAGATCAGCAGAGGCTAACAAAAATGGTGAGGGAGGCTGGGGGATCATGACTTATGAGGAAAGACTGAGGGAACAGGGCTTATTTAGTCTAGTGAAGAGAAGACTGAGAGAAGATTTAATAGCAGCCTTCAACTACCTGAAGAGGTGTTTGAAAGAGGGTGGAGCTAGGCTGTTTTCACTGGTGGCCAATGACAGAACAAGGAGCAATGGTCTCAAGTTGCAGCAAGGGAAGTTTAGGTTAGATATTAGGAAAATTTCTCTCACTAGTGTTCTAGTAAAACACTGGAACAGGTTATCAGAGAGGTGGTAGAATCTCCAACCTTGGAAGTGTGTACCGCCCAGGTTACAGAAGTTTTATAAACCCAATTAGACAAAGCTTTGGCTAGGATGATCTAGTTGGGGACGGTCCTGCTTTGAACAGGGGGCTGGACTAGATGAAGTCCCTTCTAACCCTAATTTTCTATGATTCTATGAATCAAATACATTTTGAATTATATACTGCTACCCATCCCTGCAGGGCTGGGGACTTGCACAAAGTGCTGCAATTATCTAGCAGTTACTAGGATGTTTTTTTAAACTATAAAAGCTTATGACTCCTCATTCCAAAATAATGATAAGATGTATTGTCATGATACATGAGAAGTTCAGAGATAGTTTTACAACTCTGATGAGCTAAAAACCAAAACATACAGTTAATGCAACTAAGAGTAAAATCACAACTGCTATGTAATATCTAGTCCCAGAATCACAAAAACAAACAGACAAACAAAGGATTTGGGCCACAATACAGGTAAATTTGGTTGCATTCTCAAGCTACATCATTCTCACTTGAAAGTTAGGACTGAGTGCAAATTGGATAGCTCAAGGAGTCTTCTCTTTTTGTCCCTGGTCTGAATTTATTAACATCAGTATTGACTGAAATTATTAGGCATCCAGCAACTACTGAGTTTACTATGAAACATATTGCTGGATCCTGCCAAAATGTTAATGGCAAGGTGTCACTATTACAAAAAAAATATTTCCAGTGTCACCCAGGCTCTTTTCACTTTAACAATGTATTTTTCTGTTATATAATCTACAGTTTATATAAGGTGAAGTAGTGACATAGCTATGTTAATGTTTATATTCCAGTGAACAATTCATTACAAGTAAACAAACAAGATGAATGAGCATGAGGTTGGATTCACTAAGGCTAAGATAAAGAAAAATAAAAGGCCAGGCAGGGGAAAGGAAGAAGGGTGTGTATATGACCAATAATTTACCAGATTTACCAGAGTACAACCAGCACCTCGAAAAGCCAGTCTCCTCATTGTGTCCAATGGTCAGGTTAAAGTACTAAGAGATGGCAAGTCTTTGAAAATGTCAAATCAGCAATTGCATTAATAGCCAAAGCTGAAAGAGAAGAAAAATGAGAGAAAAAACAGAAGAGGCGAAAGGTTAAAAGGAGAGAGTAGAGAGAAAAAGAATTTAAGAATAACAGTTGAGAAAAGCTATCACAAAGGCTGGAGAGAAGAGGAAACATAAATTTGGAGGGGGTTATCAAAAACTAAAGGTTTTCTGCATACGCAAAGCATATACATTTCTGGAACTTTTAACTAAAATGTTTAAATGCTACTATAATGTGAGCCATTCACTAGCCCGAGTAATGCAAGTATCACTTCATCTAGTAGCCTAAGTGTAAGAGGGAGTAAGTGGAAACTGTAAGTTGATGGTACTATAAAAAAGTAGCATAGTGACAGTAAAAAGAAGAAAAAAAAAGTCTTACAACCCTAAGTTACTAGGCAGACTTGTAGCAATGACCCACACCATCAAGACTCTCAGGAAATTGCTGATTCTACTTTACTAAGCCTTAATTTAACCCCCGTTCAAAAACCTTCAGCTATATCCCTATTGCATGACAGATTTTCAACATATCATACCATTAAATAATGAGCTTGATTAAACACAGATCTACTAAAATCAAAAGTGTATCAAGTCCAGCATGGAAAATATCAATCTATACAGTTTTGTCAGCAGTGAAGTAATACCTGTTCTAAAACTGTTCTTCTAAAAAAACTGTAGTCAAAGAACCAAAAAAAAAAATGATTTTTACTCATCTAGTATGTAGTACTTTATCATTTGGAATCAAAATATTTCACGTGTCCTTGAATAATGCACCAAGTACTAGTGTATCTCCACTAGAAAACTGGTCCTTATATGAAGCAAAGGATCTTGAGGACTATAAAATAATCTGATGGGATTCAAGTACAGCATCTCCACACCACTTATACAATACTAGTAAATCCTAGCCATTATATTTTTTTTAACTTCTGTAAAAGGTTAGGCACCTGAAGACCCCACCTACAGGCAGTCACTGAAGGAAATTTCTCTTCCTAATACTAAAACATAACAATTTCTTCTAACAATATCTGAGGATGTAATATTCTGATGTACTCCATTAAGGTCCCACACATCTATTATCAAAAGTAATCCCCATGTAAGAATACTGCTTCTACACATCTTTAAAATATTTTTAAAAGGAGCTGAAAAGTGTTTTTTAAAAGTCTAAATTTTTACATACCCTTCAGAGTAGCTAATCAAAGCATGTATATAGATGCCACAAAAACTATTTTTGAAAGTTCCCTGGATTTCTGTAAAACCATTCAACAGACAGCTGACAAACACAACAAAATGATGGGGAGAGAATGTACCATATACTGTCCTGCAGCATTACTGACAAGACTAAAACTGTGTTGTAACCGGGGAAAGCATGTCAGAGGGTTGTTTCAGAGGATAAAGCAGGAAAGAAGTTAGCTAGGCCGCACAGTTGTCTCCTGAGCCTTGGAGAAAGAAGCGTACAAGACAGATAACAAGTACACAAAACAGAGGCTTGTCCCAGTTTAATTCTTCTCCTACCAAACGCTGCAGGACTCTGTTGCTCCCGTGGCAGGTTCCGGCAGCAGCGGCTCTACTGTGACAAGACGGAACAAACTTTGAAGGGAAGCACCGCTTCCCTGGGGCCGCGCACGTCTTCGGGGCCTCGCACAGCCGCGGCAAGTGCGGTCTACCCTGCTGCCCGCCCCGACCCCGCGCATCGCCAGAGCGCACTGGACCCCTCACATTGCCGGAGACGTCAAGGCGCCGCGGCCGGTCCCTTCCCAGCCCCAGGCTGTCACCCGCGCTAGAGACAGCAGAGCCCGCCTGCCCACCCCGGGGCCACCGACAGCAAACCGCGTGA